CATTAAAATTTGTACGGTCACTGTCTGAAAGTTACTTTAATGAAAGGCATTCTACCACTCACTATTTTAAAATTGGATATAGTCTGTGATTCTCACTCCTCGTCTTGTTGAGCCACTGAGTCTACTGGTTATGGTTTTCTACAATGGCCAGTTGGAGTGTGCTTTAAAAACCAGATGGCGGTATTATCCAGGTTTGGCAAGTTTAATGGCGCAAGTCCTGAACATTATAAATATCAGCGCGTCTGGCCTATGGTGAGTGAATGCCACTACCCAGGGGGCATTTCATGAAGCAGGATTGAGTTGGCTGGATAGGTGCGCTGAGTTTAACCTGGAATGGCTCTTTACTTCAGTGCGCCTAATGTTTTTATGGGGGCTCTGGGTTTTACTTGGTGCTGTTATTCAGCTAAGTTCAGAAATCCTGCCCTGTGATACCGGGTTTGAACCTCCGCATGTTTGCAAGTAGACCACTGTGTTTGTCCTGTTGTACCCAAACATATTCCCTGGGCCAGCTGGAGCTGTGAGGATCATGGCCCATCTCTGTGGAGTACCCTGATTGCTTCAGGGTTTAGTAAGGAGTGCTCTGATTGGTTCAGGGTTTAATAAGGTGTGCTCTGATTGGCAGGCTCTGGAGGGCATTCCTCAGAGGCACCTGGGCCTTGCTCTGGATGGGGCAGGTGATTCACGCAGCGCCAGTCCAAACGGGTCCATCTCCAGCAACAGGTGAACCTGCTTTCCATCCTGACGCCCCCTACTGCCGAGTCCCTGTACTGCGCTATGTGCTCCCAGAGATTAAGTTTTCAGTGCTCACAAACCTGCGCTGTGATGTTTTTAAATAATTTTTTATGGAATGAAAGGGGAAGATGTATGAAGAATTAATCAGCGTTTGGAAACGTGTCCCAAATTGTCCAGTCACGGATCAAAATTGTTTGAGAACCTGGCCTTCTCGTAAGCCTCGAAATCAGCGCGTCTCCCGCTCACCTGTATAGGGCTCTCTAATCTTGCGGAGACGGTGTAAGCTTTGGGGTTCCCTGGCCTCTTTTTACCTGGAAAAGACTGAAGTCCTCACCATACCTGTAGATGGGACCATCTGATGTATATAATCGTCATGCTTCTACATAAGGGAGAGTGAGATGGGGAAAGTCAGAATCGGTGTGCATTCACTGCTGAGGGGTTAATAGGCCACTCCCTCTTGGTCCTGATTGGGCTGACTGTAACATGGTGGACCCTCCCCTTGAACGGGCAAAGGGAGGGTTCAGTGGGTAGAGTCGGGGTGTCGCGAGTGATTTTTGGGATGATTGCCGAAAGAAGAGCGATGATTCTGCTGTTCCTCCTGCTTCATGAACTTACGGCTGAATGGATTACGGTAATGGGGTGGATTTCAGTCTCACTCTTGGCTCATGAGACAACAGAGAGCACACATCATGACCTGTGACTGCCTGATCTCGAGCTCGTCTCCAAAGCTGATAAATTAATCAGGGATTATACCCTACCAGCAGATGGGGGGGAAAAAAAAATCAAATGTGGGTGTCACATGAAGGAACACTTCACCCAAAATTTTCATGTTTACGTTCACCACCTTCACTGTGGGAGCTGAGCTCGACTGTGATGGTGGTGAGGATGACTATGAAGAAGCTGATGATGAAGACTGAGATGGCGATTATGCCAGCTGTTACAGTAGTTGTGATGATGGAAGTGATGCCTGGGGGCTGTGACGCTAGTGATAATGATGATGTTGGAAGAGATGACTGTCAATAGCGATTGCGCTGGTTGTGGTGGTGGTGATGATGATGATGATCATGGTGATGAAGGAAAGAGTGTTTTTCATTTGTCCTCTTCAGCTCGACATCCGGCAGACAGCTGTGTCACGGCACCACCAAGACTGGTCTTCCCTGCAAGAAGAGGGCGCTGTTGGGCCAGGACTACTGCCGGATTCACGAGGGAGGCCACACTTCCTACAACCCCATGTGACCTTGTTCCTGACTTCGCCTCCTGACCACACCCCCTTTTGTGCAGCCAGTCAGAACTGCCCCTGGGGACTGGAGCACTACAGCCCTAAACTTTCCAAACACATAATGGCACTTAATGGGCTGTGCTGTGCTGTTTACACCAGGAGACTAATTTCATGCACTTAAGCATTTCCATGTGAACTAATGCCAGAAGTTTTAGGGTTTTCCAGGGGAAGGTCGTAAGTGTGCCGTGGGGACTCGCATCATGTGTGTGCGCTTGTGGATTTGTACATTAACACAATGCTTCCAGGAGGTTAGTTTCTAACATGGTGATCCTTTTGGTGAACTGTTACACGTGTGCCTGGACGGGTTTCATTATATATCTTAATGTAAGCTGCCAACCTCTTACAAGGGGCTCATGTGAAGTTTTGGGCGATATAACTGGTAGTGTGAGCTCCAAATGCAGACTTGCATGAGCACACGATGAGCCCTTTGGAATCTCACTGATTTTCCTGTGGAAACGGGAAGGAATTTCTGTGTTTTCATGTAAGAACCTTATGTGATGTCACTGGGGCCAAGGGGGAAACCTCTTGCTGTGAATTAATTGCTGTATTGACTCCTTTTATTTACAACAGTTGTTCTTTCCGTTTGTACAGAAAATGTGGCCTTCTGCCTGTGGTTATTCAGATGGGAATTTGTTGCAGGCCAGATCGTGACTCCAGCGTTCTAGAGTGTTTGGGTGGACTAAACCCTATTTTTTTACATGCTTCCACTCACCTCGCAGATTTTTAAACTGACTCTAAAACATCACTACAGTAGATAACTTTGTAATATTTATGGTGTTTGTGTATAGTCTGTATCATTGTGCTCTGTGACCCTTTGGATTTTATATGCTTACAGTGAATGTTTTTACCTCTTAAAGCACCTTGTGAATTTTTTTTTTAAATATATTTTTCTCCTATTATAATAAATATTTTACCTTAAATTGTTTGTCTTCTGTCTTTTACTCCAGTTCATTGAGACAGCAATGCCGTTTTGTCCTCAGGAAAATAATTTCAGCTGAGCTAAAAGGCTTTAATGACTGTGAAAAAGTAATGTAATGGTGCAGGGCGGTTCAGAGTTTTGGCACGGCCTCTGCGTCTATCAATTCCTTTTCCTAAAGTATTGAACTGATGTTGGCTTTTACTATAAGGAAGCCACTTTTATATTTAGGCTGCTTTTAATATAGTTCTGAATGGTTCTCAACTTGACTGCACGCAGTCAAGGGGAGCTTCTGAATTCTCTTAAGGACAAGGAATGTCCCTCCATAATGGATCATGTTTCAGGTCCACCCTGCCCATCTGCCATGCATTTTTCATACCAGTTACTGTCGTGTCTACCAGACACTCGATGAAGGGAAGTATTTGGTTAGTTCTTGTTTCTTTTATTTTTCCCCATGGTCTCTCTCTCTCGCATATTTAATGCCTTTGATGGTTGGAAAGAAAGTACAATGTTGTTTTATGGGCTGGTTAATAAGGGTTGCAGGTTTGATTCCACCTTTGTTCTGAGGCACGTACTGCAGCTCTGCCCTCGTGTTAAGACTTCACCTGCAGTCCATCTACAGTGTATGTGCAGCAGTCTAATATTGTTTTAAAAATGGGAAAATAAAAACATAATTCTGGAGGTGTCTGCTTCATGTGCCGATAACAGTCCGGAAGCACTGAAGCACTTTTCCGTAATATTTAGAGAATTCGAGAACACATCATGGCTGCCATGTAAATACTTCCGGATCATTTTCGCAGGGTTAGGAAATTTTCTAAGCAAAGAGGACTGTTGGAACGTAGCCCTAGTTAAAGCTGCGTGTAGCAGATCTGGGGTGTGTTTCCCAAGTTAGCAACTAGCCTAGTTCCTCCATTCACAGTCAGTGGTTCCAACTACGCAAGTTAGCATCTGTGCTCTCGGGAAATGCACTACTGGAAAAGGTTCTGAGGCATAACAAAGGGTACTTCGCCAAAAAAAAAGAATCCTTCCTGTTCCCTGCTATCATGGGGAAATGGTCAAGCAGAGGAAAGGAAGGTAGCCTGTCCCATTACACAGACCTGTATGCGCACAGTGGGAATGCTTTTCCTCAAATACTTCCTCCTACACTGAGTAACCAGCACACCCAGGAGCATTATGCCCATTTTATTAAAAGCACAAATAAAAAATACATTGAACACACTCTCAATCCCTGAAACAGCGACACATTCTTTAATGTGCACAGTGTGAAGAGAGTCGGTTTAGCGTCAAAGTTGGGATGGGGTGGGTGAGGGTTGTCTAATGGAGCTACATGAAGCCCCAAAATGACACAAGGGGCAAAATGTCTGCTTTGTTCCTCGAGCATCGCAGGTCATTCCTGACCACCAGTGCGGGCCAGTCAAACTCCAGTCCTGGGAAGGCAGTGTCTCCGGGTTTTCAGGGTACTTCAACACATTTAGGTTTTAAACAAGGCTCATATAGCTTGGGTACATTTCAATTCTCTTAAATTGAGGATGAAGCTCTAAGGATCCATTAGCACGGATACACAAGAGCAGCCTTCCCAGGAGACTTAAAGCCATGACGGTCATCGATAACGACAGACACTGGCAGCAGATCCAGCTGAGCGTTGTCATCAGAAATGGACATTACTTCACGTGACGCTTCTGAGGAAAGGATGTCTCATTTCTCTAAAAGTATATCTCCTGGTTTCTCCTCACCTCACATAGTTTCCTCGCATCCCTTGGTGCATCCCCGGTGGGAGGGACAAAGATGCAAGGAAAAAATGCATGGGAAGGAAACGAGGCCGCAATTTTAGCGACTTCGGTGCACCCCTGAGCTGCCTTCTATTGCTACACCCTTTCCTTCATTCTTCTTCTGTGGTCTCAGAGATTCCCGCCCATGTCCTCCTGGCCACCGACACCAGCCAATGGGGTGACAGGACCTTCACTTGCGGGCTGTATCATAGTTGGCTACAAACCAATCGCAAGTCTCTTTCACAGCTAGAATGGGAGTGGGGAGACAGATGAGAATTTTAACAGGATTGCTTACAGTATATTGTGGCAACACTGGGACTCGAACCACCAACATTCCAGTCCCAGTCAAACACCTTGACCATTAGGCTACAAGCCCCTGGTGAGGTTTTAATATGCAACAGATATGATAAGTCAACCCCAGTTACAGTTACATTAAAGGTCCCCAGTCATGTCACCAGATACACAGCCAATTACCCATTACAAAATCTGTTCCTTTGTGACATCACGTGGTGAAGGGACTGCCCAGAGACAACAAGGACTGATCAACTTCAGCTAACCAGTTAAAGGAGGAGTGTCACGATTACTGCACATGCTCAGAACTCACATCCCTAGAAAGTGAATCAGCTTGACTGCGAGTCATAATCTAATTCCATCCTTGCCGATCCATTTTTGTTTTGCATTGCATTTATGTATTTTAGTCACTCTGGCATCAGGTTTTTTATATGAAGGGGCTTTCTATGGAAATTCGAGTATTCAAAGCACCATTTTAAGCTTTAGCCAAGGGATACAAAGAATGTAAGCTAGTTGCAATCACCAATAATAACAGAAGAAGAAAAATGCCTTCTAAATTTTGACTTGCAGGTGAGTGGATTTACTTGGTTCAAAGTTGTGAGCATGTGCAGTAATGGAGACACAGCTCCTTAAATTGGTTCCTTCATTATTCTGGGTGGTCCCTCCCCCTTGGGATGTCTCAAAAGGACACATTGTGAAATGGCTTATAGAGGCTAATTCTCTGTGCACTACGTGACATGAGAGGGGACTTTTAATTCCCAGAGGAGGAGAGGGTTTTGCAAAGTGGGCTGAACTGCAAATGATTGTTTTATATAATAACACAGGGAGCGAATGCAGACAGATGGGCCTGTGTGTCCATCCCTGACCTTACTCGTCTCTGTCCCACCCCTGCATCCCTCTAGCCTCCTCTTGACCCAACCCGACCCGACCTGACCCGGCCCAGCTCGACCGGACCTGACCCAACCCGACCCGACCAAACCCAGCCCGGCACTCTAACCTTGTGCGAAGGGCGTGAAGGTGAATTCGGGGAGGTATCGCCTCAGTTTGGCGTTGCTGGCTGTCTTCTTAAACTGGCCGTCCGCTTTACTGACGTCAAACTGATGCCAACAGTTAAGAGTTTGTGCCTAGAGTTTGTGTGTGAGAGAGTCTGTTTGTGTGTGTGTGCGAGTGTGTGTGGGGGAGTGTGTGGAAGGGATGGTATGCATGGGTGTGTGTATGTTTTAGAGTCTGTGAGCTAGTGCATGTGCATGTTTTTGTGAAAGAGAATGTAGAGTGTGTGTGTGTGTGTGTGTGTGTGTGCATGTATAAGAGTGCGTAGCTTCACATGCATGTGTGTGCGAGTAAAAAAAGGCGGCACATGAGCAAAAGTTTGTAAGCGTGCGTGTGTGTGCGCGCATTTGCGAGAGATGGAAAGTACGAGAACTAGCGTGTGTGATGTGTGATCCATTTCATAAGGATACAACAACCTGGCCCTTGAAACCAAGAGCGTCAACGACGCAGTTCGCCGCTTCCTTTATGGAGACCTCGTCCTCTTCACCCACTGAGAGACCAAACACAAAACAACTCAAATATACACACACACATATACACACTCACACACATATTCCAGCTTTCATACACGCATACGCTCTCTTTCTCGCTCTCTCTCACACACACAATATAACGAATCTCAGTGACGTGGACAATGTATTAAGAGCCAGACACTCACCTGACAGTATGATGAGTCTCGGTGTTGTGGATGATGTATAAAGAGTCAGACACTCAGCTGACAGTATGATGAATCTGGGTGTTGTGGATGATGTATATAGAGTCAGATACGACCCGACAGTATAATGAATCTGGGTGTTGTGGATGATTTATAAACAGTCAGGCACTAACCTGACAGAATGTTGTGGATGATGTATATAGAGTCAGATACCCTCCGACAGTATGATGAATCTGGGTGCTGTGGATGATGTATATAGAGTCAGATACCACCCGACAGTAAGATGAATCTGGGTGTTTGGATGATGTATATAGAGTCAGATACCACCCGACAGTACAATGAATCTGGGTGTTGTGGATGATTTATAAACAGTCAGGCACTAACCTGACAGAATGTTGTGGATGATGTATATAGAGTCAGATACCCTCCGACAGTATGATGAATCTGGGTGCTGTGGATGATGTATATAGAGTCAGACACTCACCTGATAGTATGATGAATCTGGGTGTTGTGGATGATGTATATAAAGTCAGACACTCACCTGACAGAATGATGAATCTGGGTGTTGTGGATGATGTATATAGAGTCAGACACTCACCTGACAGTATGATGAATCTTGGTGTTGTGGATGATGTATATAGGGTCAGACACTCACCTGACAGTATGATGGATCTTGTTGTTGTGGATGATGTATATAGGGTCAGACACTCACCTGACAGTATGATGGATCTTGGTGTTGTGGATGACATATTAAGAGTCAGACACTCACCTGACAGTATGATGAATCTGGGTGTTGTGGATGATGTATATAAAGTCAGACACTCACCTGACAGAATGATGAATCTGGGTGTTGTGGATGATGTATATAGGGTCAGACACTCACCTGACAGTATGATGGATCTTGGTGTTGTGGATGACATATTAAGAGTCAGACACTCACCTGACAGTATGATGAATCTGGGTGTTGTGGATGGCGTATTAAGAGTCAGACACTCACCTGACAGAATGATGAATCTGGGTGTTGTGGATGATGTGTATAGAGTCAGACACTCACCTGATAGTATGATGAATCTGGGTGTTGTGGATGATGTACATAAAGTCAGACACTCACCTGACACAATGATGAATCTGGGTGTTGTGGATGATGTATTAAGAGTCAGACACTCACCCGACAGTATGATGAATCTGGGTGTTGTGGATGATGTATATAGAGTCAGACACTCACCTGACTTTATGATGAATCTGGGTGTTGTGGATGATGTATTAAGAGTCAGACACTCACCCGACAGTATGATGAATCTGGGTGTTGTGGATGATGTATATAGAGTCAGACACTCCCCTGACTTTATGATGAATCTGGGTGTTGTGGATGATGTATATAGAGTCAGACACTCCCCTGACTTTATGATGAATCTGGGTGTTGTGGATGATGTATTAAGAGTCAGACACTCACCCGACAGTATGATGAATCTGGGTGTTGTGGATGATGTATATAGAGTCAGACACTCACCTGACAAAATGATGAATCTGGGTGTTGTGGATGATGTATATAGAGTCAAACGCTCACCTGACAGAGTGATGAATCTGGGTCTTCTGGATGATGGATATATGGTCAGGCACTCACCTGACAGTATGATGAATCTGGCTGTTGTGGATGATGTATAAAGAGTCAGACGCTCACCTGACAGTATGATGAATCTCAGTGTTGAGGATCATGACAGGATTCACCTGACAGTATGATGAATCTCGGTGTTGTGGATGATGTATAGAGTCAGACGCTCACCTGACAGTATGATGAATCTCAGTGTTGAGGATCATGACAGGATTCACCTGACAGTATGATGAATCTCGGTGTTGTGGATGATGTATATAGGGTCAGACACTCGCCTAACAATATGATGAATCTTGGTGTTGTGGATGATGTATATAGGGTCAGACACTCACCTGACAGTATGATGGATCTGGGTGTTGTGGATGACATATTAAGAGTCAGACACTCACCTGACAGTATGATGAATCTGGGTGTTGTGGATGATGTATATAGGGTCAGACACTCACCTGACAGTATGATGAATCTCAGTGTTGAGGATCATGACAGGACTCACCTGACAGGATGATGGGATCGATCTCATCGTAATCTCTCAGCACCCAGAGGAACAGACGGGCCAGGTCCTGATAACACATACTCACATGAAACACATCCCTAAAATACACACATAAACACCAACACACACATTGCACACTGTGCACACTCACAAAATATACACAGACCCACACAAAACAAGCACATGACACACAAACCTACACAGCCCACACACGACATACACACGGAATATATACCAACCTATGCAACCCTTATCAAAAATATACACCAAGGATCACACACTGCACATTCGTGGAACATATTGCAGCTTATGCAACACTCATAAAATATACACAAAATACCGGCAAGCCAACACGCAACAAACTACTGAAATACATGAAAACCTACACACACATGCAGTGTACGAACACCCATAAAACTAGAATGTGTTTTTACTCGTAAAAACAGACGTCTCCCCCCGGCCCCCTTCCCTGCCTAACCCAGTGGACGGACGGACGGACAGACAGGCACACACCAAAAGGCACCACTTCAGGACCTGAGTAGTAAGTATGCAAAGTTTCATTAAGATCATGCAAACGGATTTGGAGTTACGCTCAGGAAACGAAGTGGGAACGCCAACGCGAACGTGAACGGGAACCGAGCCTAAAACAATATGTCTCCCCTCTCCCTCCGGGGGAAAGATAATAAACACCACACACACTACAGACACAACACACACAAGCAAAGTGCAGCAGGATCTGTGTCTCCAACAGAGTCAGGCAGGGGGCAGCAGTGAGTCACACTTACCAGAGAATAGATGAACTGCCTTCTTGGGGTGCCAGACCCCCACACCTGCAGAGGGCGCCCTTCCTCTGAGAGGAAAAACAGGTCGGGTTAAAGAACTGTGTGCAGTATGTACAGTATGAGTGTGTATGTGTGTGTGTGTGTGTGCCGGTTACTCACTCTGCGCCGTGTAGGCCTTGTGAATAAGTCCAGGAAGAACATGACCGTCCTCGATGTTGAAGTTGTCATGGGGACCAAACACATTGGTGGGAATTACAGCTGTGAACCTGCGGCCGTACTGCTGAAAATACCCCCTTTATCACACACACACACACACACACACACACTGTTAGCTGAATGATACAGAAACCTCCTATAAATGAAATTGTTTTAGATCTAGCTGCAGCAGTACCTGTTCTGGACATCAATCATCCTCTTGGCATAGGAGTACCCAAAGTTAGAGTCATGGGGTGGGCCATTGTGGATCTGCAGAGACAACACAACAAACAGTGAG